GCTTTCAATGATACCTATCCATCAACAAAAAAAAAAAATAATGGCCGTTTCGTGCACAAAACACTAGCTAGCAAATAAAAGCCTAGACATTTCAGCATAAGTTGCATTTTGTGCATCAAAGTTTTTATATCCTGACATGATAATCAAGGTTTTTATCACTATCTTTTTTTTCAAGTCTTTCTGTTTATTTATAAGCCGTTTGTTGATATCTTTTGCTATCTATTTCAGCATATTGGATGCGACTGGGGAATAGACTCCACAGCGAAAGAAGATAGATGCGGCGTCTGTCATGGCGACGGATCAACTTGCGAGACGATAAAAGACCAATATAATGAAACACAAGGAATGGGTGTGTGGCAATTTTCCGTCTCTTCATGAATAAAAAGCATTGTACTAAAAGATATCCTATCTTTTATATACGTATTAAATTTGTCATTTAACTTGATCTTTCTTGAAAGAAGAATATTTTATTGAAATTTAATCAGGTTATGTTGAGGCAACTGTAATACCAAAGGATGCTCGTAACATACGTGTGGAGGAGGTTGCTGGAGTAGACAACTATTTGGCTCTTCAGAACGATAAGGGTCAATACTACCTGAATGGTCACTGGTTCATTCAGTGGTCTGGAGACTATAACATTGCAGGCACAGTTGTGCAATACAATCGTCAGGGTAACAGAGACAAATTTGAAGCTGTTGGACCAATCACAGAACCGCTTCATATCATGGTACATGTAGTATAAGATTACAATGTAGTTATCAATAATGTAATCGTGTATTCGAGTAAAAATCTTTGTCATTCGTTCAGTTTCCTGAGTGTTCGCATTGTATTCAATTTTCCAGCTCTTACTGCAAACACGGAACCCTGGTGTTGTGTTTGAATACACTGTTCCCAAAGAAAATGCTACAGATACTAGACCCCGTGAATTCCAGTGGACCTACATGGATTGGACACATTGTACCTCGTCTTGTGGATCAGGTAATTCATAGTTTCTTAATGACTGTATGAATACATTCGCAACTGGGTTCGATTTACCTTCCTTCTCATTCCATTTGTGTTTGCTAAATTTAGGTACACAGAGAGCTATTGTTGTTTGTTCCGAGAAAGAAGATGGACAAGTTGATGATGTTTACTGTAATAAAACACACAAACCTGATGACTTGCAAAGGGTTTGCAACGTCCATCTCTGTCCAGCAAGGTAAATATACAGACAGTTAGAATTATTATAACTATAACAATATTTCTGAGATACATTGGAATTTTCTTTCATTTCAAATTTCCGATTTATTTTCTTTCCAGATGGTGGGCAGGGCCTTGGCAACACTGTTCCGTTACTTGTGGCAAGAATGGCGTCCACAAGAGGACTGTCATATGCGTGCGCAGCTTAGGGAATGAGGAACAGATAGCCCTGGAAGATAAATCATGCGGTGGAGAAGAAAAGCCAACAGAAGTTGAGGCATGTCACCACAAAGACCTATGTCCAGGCACTGGCGAATGGGAAGTAGGAGAATGGACGCCTGTACGTTGTTTTAATTTATAATTTCTTTTGCAATTTGTGTTGGAAGTGAAGTTTAATATACTATTTTTATTGCTATTGTCCTTTTTTCAGTGTGATAGCAATCCATGTTCATCACAGACTCGAGAAGTTAAATGTTCATTGCCAAGCATTGGTTGCGACAAAACCCCAATTCCAGCTCAAAAACGTCAGTGTTCTGATGTAATTTGTGAAAAGTGGACATTTGGAAACTGGTCTGAGGTTAGAAATTTTTGAAAGGAAAATATTGTAGAAGACATGAAAATTTCTAATGTATTTTAACCTTTTTCATTCATTCCATTCTTTCTTTTTAGTGTTCTGTTACTTGTGGATTTGGGGTTCGCTTGAGGAATGTCACGTGTCCTGAAACTAAAACGTGTGATGCAACACAGAAGCCAGAAGAATCAGAAGTTTGTGATATTCTGGACTGTCCAACCGCTCCTTCCACAAAAATGGTTATAGATCTTATTGACATTCCAGAGGAATCAGCCGATGGTGGATACGAAAGAAAAGAGTTTATTGAAAATGATCGCATTATACAGGGAATATCGACAACGATTTCATCCACCACTGAAGAATCCTCAAAAACATCTCCAACAACAAAGCTTGATGACGAAAGGGGGGTTATCAAGGGTCCAGTCTTGGTCACTGAGGTAACCGAGCATATTCCTCGCCAGTTTTTGGATATCAAAGAAGGTGGTTCTGATGTTATCGTTGATAATCAAGATATTCAGCAGCCAACGCCGTCGGTGGACAATCATAAAATTCAGGGTGATAACTTGCTAAGCAAAAAAGTACCTCCACCAATATCCGATTTTACACAACACAAACAAAGTTTTGGTCAAACAAAAATTGATGGGAGAAAGATACTGCCTCCTAACGTTGATATGGATAAAATTGCTAATATTCCACATCTACCAGACATGAAAAAGCTGCGTCCATTACTAAAGCTACCCTCATTGCCAAACATTTCCGGTCATCCAAGGAGACGTATTAGTCCCAATACCATCATCATTCCTTCAGTTTTTGAGTGGGTTCCAAAGACGTGGAATCCGGTAGGTTTGACACCCGTGTTTTTTTTTAACTATATCGCAATTTGCTTTGCAGATCCACACATATTTTAACTTTATAATCATTATTTTTGTACAGTGCTCTCGAAAGTGTGGTGGTGGAATTCAAACACGTGCAATTGGTTGTGTTGACTCCAAATCAGGTCAGGAAACAGAGGAACATAATTGTAACATACTGACAAAGATGGATACAATTCGTCCCTGTAATACACAACAATGTTCAACGTGGCAAACGTCCATATGGAGTCAGGTACTTTTTCACCTTCTTGGTTCACTAAAAAATGCCTTGCAAACTTTATTTTTCTTTGCAAATGCCCATTACTGAAATTGATATATTTTACAGTGTTCTGCCACCTGTGGAGAAGCGGTTCAAATCCGCGATGTGGTTTGTTCCGAGAATTTGGACTGTGATCCGGACCAGAAACCAGTAAACATTCAACCCTGTGTACTTCCAAAATGTCTGGCATGGAAACATGGTCCCTGGAATACGGTAAAATTTCCTATCATAGAATTTATTCTGAAGACGGATTTTTTTACTCTGACGGAATTTTGATTTTCTTGTTGAGTTTGCAAATAAACGCTCTTTTGATTTTGTTAATAATTTGCTGAAAATATAAAATTCTTTGATTCCTTTTTAGTGCTCTAAAACGTGTGGCAAAGGAGAGCAAATAAGAGCAGTGCAGTGTATAAATATGACATCAGAGACAATAGCCACCGATTGTGACATGTCGCAAAAACCAGCAGAAGTACAGTCCTGCAATCCAGATGCATGCCCACGTAGACATTCAGGTATAATGAAAATTTTATTATGAAATAGTCTGTTTTGCTTGTTTTTTCCTCCTTTTATCGATTTTTCAATGACATTCTTTATTTTACAGAGCTAAAAACATCAAGATGTAAAAGAAACAGATTAAACTATAGAGTTTGTCGTAAATTACGAGAACGAGGCCAATGTGCACGTGTATATGTTAGAGTAAACTGTTGCAGAACGTGTGAAATGAATAGATATCGGACAAGATGGCGACCTAGAAGAAGACAAGCACGGTAGAGGCTGGAGTGTTTAGTTTAGAACCAATTACAAAGGCAGTGGTCCGGAAGGAAACTCACGCACAAAATTAGGATTTCCTCCTACAATGGAACCGGACATTGTGTTCAGTACCTTGGAGGACAAATTAAACCTGTTTCAGTATTCAAGTCTGCTGAAATCCATTAATGTTTTTGCTTGTTACGTCAGAATCATTCCCATAATTCCATGTTTTATTACAGATCGTTTTGTTTCATGTTTGACATCTCTAATTTGTACCAATGAATTAGAAGGATATAGTGTGTGTGTAATGTTTTTTAGCTAGAAGATGCGACTGATGAAGAGTCTTGTGATACTCTTTATACAAATGTAATTGCTTTATACTCAGTAACCATTTTTGTATATATGAAGTATACAATGCTTAAAACTATTTTGAAGATATTTATTTATATTATACAATTAATGTTTTGTGTACAATCCCGTTGTTTTACAACTTTAAATGATACTCAATAAATACAATACTAAAATCACAGGACGTCTGTGTTTAGTTTCTAAACAAGTTGTACGAGCTCTTTACTTGGCTTGGTAACAAAACCAACGTCAATGAAACTTTAACCCCAATCCCCACCCCCGCCCCCCAATAAAAAAAATGTCACTAGCCTTAAAATTGTAAACAAAACCAACGTATGCAATAAAAAAAACCAACAGAAAAATCTCTAGCAAAGAAAAAATAAAACTACTTTGTATATAACAATCATTTTTCGACCATTCAAAAAAATAGTTACTTTACTGTACTACCAACAAGATTGAATGAATTTCTGGAATTTAATTTTGCTATAAAATTCAGTTATGATATTTCTGAAAGTAACTTAAATGTTGATTATCAATAAAATAAGATTATGCATTGATTGTCATCAGTAGAATGATTGCTCTATTTTGTGGCATAGTACTTTCTAAGAAATCAAAATTCCTTATACAGGACATCAATTATCAATTTGCTTCAGTCGAAGTTTTGCATCAATTCTTCTGTCATTAAAATAGAAAATCAAATTTTATAACGAAACTGTCCGACACAAAAATTGAAGCTCTTAGCTACAGGTTAGTACATCATTTGAATATTTCTAGCATATCTTAGATAAACTTAAGGTAAAAATCGGTTATAAAGAAATCGCTTACAAGGAAATTTTGGCTAAGAGGAACATTTTACAAATTTTATTTCTAGATCCCTAAATGCGGATATATATATATAAATACTGGTACAAAAGGACGAAAAATTAAGTACCCACTGGCTTCCTTATAACCAAGGTTTACTACTGTATAATCAATATTTTATTATGTGGAACGTTTGGAAGCACAGTCCTCTCCAAAGACATTACTTATTTTTTACAGCGGACTCTGTGTTGACTGAGTGTCAGAGTTCACAAGGTCAAGTATACGTAGCCGACAGATCTTCTTCACCTCATTCGCCCCTGTTATGGCCTCCGACTGTTGTGAGTTTTGCAGTCTCTCTTCCAGTCCTTTGAGAATGGCATCTTTCTTGTTTTCCCTTGCACAGATGACGAACGGGAAACCAAATTTGTCTTTATACCTCTTGTTTAGAACGCTCATTCGCTGGCGTTCTTCTTCCGACATATTGTCCAGTCCCGCACTTTTCTGTTCTCGCGTGGATTCAGATGTCAGCTGACCCGATTGTGCCAATCTTCCCGCGAGATCAGGGTGCAGGCGTAGAATTCCTTCCTTGCCTGGAAAGATACGCGAAGAAAGATAACTCTTGCTAAAACTATGCAATAAAAATTATTTAATATTGAAAACGACGCGCAATCCCCATTTCTGTCTGATGTTATTTGAAAAAAATATCAGTGCAACAGTGACATTGTGAAATTATCCATGTAAATGCAAAACGATTTTGTTGCATCTGTTTGTACTGAAATCTTTGTGACAGACACTTCATTTTAAAAGGGCCTGGATTCAGCTGCGTTGCTGTTTTATTTACAATTTCAAAATTTCAATTTTGTTTTTTTTAAAAATTCAATAACTGTTTGAGATGAACTTTCAAGACAATACTTAAAAACATAGGTAATCAAAGATTACGAAGCTCACCTCAACGAATATTATCAGTTTAAGTAATGTAAACCTCACATCTTATTTTCTTTATAGTAAGTTTGCATCCTGATAGCAATATTCATGCAATTTCATTTTTATTAGGTCTTAAAATTCAATGGTATTGACCAGTCACCTGTTCCAAAATCTTTAACCTGTTAACTTTTCAAGAAATTGTCTTTCTTTTCCTACATCCTACATCCGAGGAGAGTCTGGCATTGTCCATCCTTAGAAGCATCATCTATGCAAGTTATATTACAAAAGGCCATAAAATTACAGAGCTACTCAATAACATTATCCTGGTCACTAATCTGAAAAATTTAGGTCAGATCCAGCATCCAAAGCAAGTCTAATGGTGTCCATCCCAAGATGCATCATCCATGCAAGTTTCGTCCTGTTAGGGCTTGTATAAATAGACCTAGGTTTACCGGTAAATATTTTTTCATTAATGAACAACTTTTTTTCATTTTTTAAACAAGTATATACTGACAAAAAGTCAGAGATACTCAAGCTGTAGAAAATCAACTTAGAAAAGTCATTAATATCCTAAAATGGTATAATGTGGGCTATTGAGTTCAATCTTCTATTGAATTATATACATGTACATGAAACAAAATTCATATAATGAAGTTAATTAGAATAAATATAATTTATCGTACTATACGATGAATTTACGTTACTCACTTTCAGGAATATTTTATAGAGTATAGTAGACGTTTCTTGAATTAATAAAATATTTTTTATGTAGACATTTCATATACTTCAAACTATACGCTTTTTTAATTTTGCTTAATGACGTACATAAAAACATTTTATAAACATCAATCTAAATAGCTTGTTGCAAGTCGGAAGAAAAGTTTTTCAAAGTGGGGGGGGGGGGGGGGGCTCGGGGCTCCAAAAAGCCACGTAATTACCGGTATACGTGTACATCTAACTGTGCGGCATGTACAGTACATATTCCGTTCGAATCCAAAAGAAGTTATTTAGGTTCCGTTACCAAAGCTGAAGAAAGTACGATTTTTTAAAATAAAAAAAAAACGTATGAGGGAGAAATTAACATTAATTTTGCGCTATTATTTTACTGTCACTCAAAGTGCACATCATTTTCAGGCCCGTTATAGGCAATTTCAGTTTGGGGGTACAGCCATACATTTTTTTGCTACGCATTGTAAAACTTTGACAGATAATAATGTATCTTAGTGTAGTCTACTTGTGAAGTTATGCCAAGTTATACTGAAATCAGACCAACACTGCGAGAATAAGCGTTTCGAAAATTTGTTAAGAGAAGGACAATTAGAAATGGGGTAACCTGCGTCACCTTTCAGAGTAACCAGTGGACTCGTCCAAGGATGCTTTGTCGGCGACTGTAAAAAGTACCTGAGATTCCTACGCAAATGAAAGCGCGAAATCTCTGTATAGAAACTGTTGCAGCTGCGACGCTTCACTCATTGTTCATACGCTGTAGAATAGAATCCGACTTTTAACACTTAATATTTTAGAATATATAGACGTTTTCAACATAAGCTTCATTTTTGTTTCTAGAAATATGTTTATCTACAAATATAATATAATTTCGTGTTTTTAAACTGAGTAATTCGATGACCTAGCATCGTTTTAGATAACTCAAGCCCCTCTAGGGCTTGAGTAAAAATATTAAGGATACATTTTACCACAGTTACTTGTGGACAGGACCCCCCCCCCCCCAGATATTCAACCCAGGGGCTAAATTTTACATTTTTTTCACAATTTATATTTAGTACACTTATTCAACATGTTTGCAATAGGAACAAATCGTCAAAACCCCAAAATAATCGCTCCTCAAAAAAATACCCCACTATACATTATAAGAGAGAGGGGTAACAACTTAGGTTTGTTTACGTTTAGGTAAACGCAACGGAAGTGCCTATTACCTATTATGATAACACCCGAGAGTGATTATTACGTCAGGCAAAAACTCTCTCGGACGTTATCGTACTAGAAAACACCAAACACCCAACGAACGAACGTATCTCGACGATATTAACCGTATTACTACTTTATAAATACCATTACTCGCTTTATATTTATTTTGTAATAATTTCAAAGGCGGATCCAGCGCCGGGCGTGCGCCCCCTCCTCCATTTGATTTTTTAATTCTGTTTGTATTACCTTAAAATCAACAGGAAAACATCTCTTTTTGTTATAGAATTCCTCAGTTTCCGGGGGCTTTGCCCCTGGATCCCCACCAGGGCTTTGTCTGGACCCACTGGGAGCCCTAATGCAGCCCCCAGACTTCCCAGTCTTCTACTGCGCCCCCCCCTCCCCACGTTTTGAAATTCCTGGAACCGCCGCTGAATAAATATTTAGACAGTTTAACTGCTAGTACATATTTCTACAATTCCTAGTTAGATATGAACGACCAATATCGGGTTATTATATTTATGTCGAGTTAATGACACCCTAGATGGGATCTTGCGTCTATTGTTAAATTGTGCATAGCTCTTGCAAAGCGTCGTATTGTTAATTGTTACAACCTATAAGAATGGCACGCCAAATTCACAAAAATGAGCTAAACATAGTCTCACAGTTGATAAACTACATTTATCAACTGTAAACTAAAGATAATAAACCTTAAACTATAGTTAACAATTCGTTAATATAGTTTTCATCTGTAAAACTATGTTTAACGGTTGTTAACTCTAGTTTACGAATGCTAATATAAGTTTATCTGTCTATAATAAAACGTTAACAATAGATTTTGTTGGTAAATATAGATTCAAGTCTGTAAACTTTAATTTACAATCGTGAACTATAGTTAAGAGTTGTTAATCATAGTTTCACAAATCGTGAAACTATATTTATCAGATCGATAACTATAGTTAAGGTTCATAAACCCTCTGCTTATAATACTCATATAAAATATTTCTTTAACTTTTATGATTTTCCAAAAAAAAGTATATGCTAAATAAAATACAAACAATTTTATCATGGCTTACGGGGCAAAATTTGACAAAAAAGGCACTTCAACTTGACAAATTTATAAAGGAATAATAGAATTTATGTCATCAAGAGTTATCTCTCTTATCAGAGTATCAATGTACCTAGAGAGTTGTAAACATAGTTTACAAATCGTGAAACTGTATCTATCAGATAATCTATGCTTTGCAACCGCAAATGATTGTTTTCAGTGTTACGGTTCTGAAACATAGATTATCGCGTTATCTATGGTTTACAGATATAAAATATAGATTAACGTTCAACTTGTTCACAATAGTTTACAGTCCGTAAACTATACTTTACAACCGATAAACATAGTTTTTCGGCTGTGGAACTATGTTTAGCTCATTTTTGTGAATTTGGCGTGCCATAGATAAGACGTTATCGTAATATACAAAGGCCATCCTTTAACATGGCGAATCCAGCAATTTTTGAAAAGGGGGGGGGGGGGTCCAGGTCGGTGTACCAAGCACTCATGCATAGAATCACACCATGGCCACTTCAAGTCCGTAGCTTCATTTATAAGAAGAGGGAGCTCCAAAAACATTTGACAAGCAAAACAAACAAACAAAACAAAAAAAACCTATGCACCTTACTTTAAAATTGGGAGGGGGTAGAGGGGGGATTCGTACCACTTTTCTGTTCGGTACATTACTTTCAATTTTAAATCTGCGTATTTTCCGGAAACAAAAGATGTGGAGGGAGCTTCAAAAACAAAATATTATTTAAAACTGCAGCAAAAGATTATTCTCAGAAAAAGACTTCGTGAGCCCCCTCCTTCTGCATTCTACAGGAACATTTTAACATTTTTCTATATTGATTGATTAAAAATTGAAGATGGTCCAAACATGGTATAGCTAAAGTTCGCTGGAATCTTCCTAGCATGTTACTTGTGGATGTTCGGGGCCCTTAGACGGGGTTGTGAAGGTACACGGAGCAAAGCAAATACGCCAAAATCTACAAAATGTTAAATAAGCCCCGGGGTTGAATATCGTGGGGGGGGGGGGGTCCTGTCCACAAGTACCTGTGCATTTTACCATGTGCTTCAATCAAAGGCGTCCCGAGATCTGTACAGATCGGGAAAAAGATGATTCTCATCAATTTTTATTAATTTATAGGCCTAAAATACTTTAGGAACATGGACATGCAATTCATGGTATTATACCAAAAATTTTAGTACATAAGTACATACCACTCGTCGGAAGTCGATCTATGAAATCGCCAAAGGAACTTGCGATGTGTTGCGCATCGTGAAATGGGCGTTCCCTCCAAACTGCTGCGGCGCACAAGCTGCAGTGCTCCACGACATTACCAAAGCACTGAATGAATTCCTCATAAGTCATCTTGTTGACTTTCTTTAGGGGAATTTTGGTAGTTGACATTCTTAAAAATAGGCCTATTGGAAAATAATCATAGTTAGAATAATATCTTATCTGCAAGGACTGCAAAGCTTTTAGTAGAATGTTAAATTACAGTCAATTCTCGAATTATCGCCATTCGATTCATCGCCATTTTCGCAATACCGCCATGATTTCCCAGGAACGTTTTTCCTGCTATATAAAATTCTCTTTATAACGCCAAATTCGCATACCGCCATCCGCCACCCTGTTTTCACAACAAACGTCCATTTTTAAGTGTCAATTATCTCGATATACCGCCACAGGTGCATGTGGTCAGTGAAGCGCGGCTAATTAGTTGACGCTATTCCTGTTGTAAAGCATGCAAACGCAGACAAGGTACATGCAATCAAGTTATTAAACAAGAATTAAATAAACAATAATTTTAACATGAACTGTATTAATAATTTTGTTTTCTGTTTAATATAATCATTTAGTCACAGCTTCGCCACGAAAGCGGTCGTTGTTAAAGTACGCCGATAACGATATTATTTTGATGATCTTTGCTTTAAACAGTGCAAAGTTTGCTGGAAAAAATATTTATACGGTATAAATTGTGAACGTTTCATTAACAGTGATACCATAAACAATGAATATATTCAAGAATTCATTTTACTTACTATCGGCAATATATCAGGACGATCGACCCAGTATGTTTTTTTTTTTTCAATATCGAACGTGCACATTTACATTCATATACAAATATTTGTCTTTATTTCATAACTGCACATTTTGTTTTAGCGAAATTGTACATTAAAAAAATTACTTGAAGTATTTTCAATCAGAAATATGTTTTTATATACATGTACATGTAATGATAAGAATAGAAACGCTAAATGGTATTTCTAAGAACGATAACTCTACGTCTTGTTTTCTAAAAGATGGGAAATTCAATTCATCGCCAAATTCGTTATACCGCCATGATTTCTAAATTACAAAAGGTGGCGGTTTATCGAGAATTAACTGTACTTGTATCTATTCCTTTTGTAAAATCATTTCTTAATAAAATTCAATACTGCATATATTTATATTTTTAAAAAATATATATATATCTGTGCTTTTTGAATTCCTAAAAGCATACAATTAAACTCGAGGTCGAAAGGAAGGCCGTGAGGGGTTGGGAGTTTTTTACATTTTGGGGGGAGTGAGATAAGGGGGGGGGGGGGTTCACTAATTACAAGAATATTTCAGTAGTCTGAACCCTTGAAATTTTATAAAAAGTCTATATACATGTATCCCAGAAATATTATTCATTGTAAAAAAAAAAATACCTGACGTTTAATTTGCTGGTTTGCTGTTATGTTATAATATATGTAAAATGTATGTTATACCCGTATCAAAAAAGTAATCCTTGGGTCTGAGACCAATTATTTAATATGACATATTACGTAAGACCTGTAACAATGTAATCTTAGAAACTTTTATCTACATTGTAACTTACTCAAGGCCTCAAGTAAGGCATAGCCAGCTGATAAGAGTACAACTGAACTGCAATTAATTATCAAGTTCATGTACGTGTACAAACACAGTTAAAATACAAACTATGAGCAGAAATACAAAAACAAGCATGTGTACAAGAGTAAATTAATAGATACTGAAGGTTATATTTCATTGTTTGAAAAATTGACTTAACCATTTAAGGCATTTTGCTGAATGTAAACAAACGAAAGTTTAATCGAGTTACCTTTCCTGTGTCGAAAGAAATACTGAATTTCCAAAGTAAAGTAACCAGAAAAGATGAAATTGACAAGAAAGGATATATTTTTTTATGGAAGAAGAGAAATAAGCAGATGAATGATAGTTTTGGTACCTTAACAGCTGCTTAATGTGCACTCCGGATTTATTTTATTTGTTTTCGCCTTGCTTACATTAACAGGAAATTAAGTTTACACGCTAAATCTAGAACAATTCTGGAGGGAATGTTTTTTCCCGAAAAAATATTAATGAAAAGGTCATATGAAACAATGTTCTTTAATGCTAGAACCAGTCTCTAGAAATGCCATACTCCCACAGGCACCTGACGTTACTTAATTTTCTTTTAGTAAAAAAAAATATACACATACTTAATAATAAACTATTATTATTAGGTATGTGTATACTTTTTTTTATTAAAAGAAAAATAAGTAACGTCAGGTGCCTGAATGTCACCCGACCCCATCCTCTCTTTTTTTTAGTCTTCCAGTCCATATTCTATTTCTTCGCCGTCATGTTTTTCCTGTCAGACGTTTAACATTAACTTTTATATTTTTTAGCCTTTACTCTCGAAACGTATCACCATTACAAAATTTGAAAATAACATAGGGTCAAAATTATTGTAATTGAAGAATGATTCAAAAAAAAAAAAAAAAAAAAAGAGAATAAATTATTGTTCTTCGAAAACAAATTCAGTACAAACAAAAAATGATTTCTTCTAAAATCATTATTTCATAATAAAATTGTATCTTTCCATTTTAATTACATGTCAAAAAAGGTATCTTATTATGGAACAGAAACAGTCTTTACTTAGGAATTGAATAATTTAATATTCTTAAACATATAGATCTATATACATTGCTGACTTTTCTTTTGCTTTTTCATTACTTCGATGTGTCTGTTTGCCGCTGTCTTGTTTTTTGCTACTTTGTTGTGACTGTCCTTTTTTGTGCTTTTGTGACTGTCTTTTTTGCGCGTTTGTGTCTGTCCTTTTTTGTGTTTTTTTTCTACTGTGGCTCCTGTTGAGCTTCTGTTGAATTTATGCTACACGTACATGTACCTTGTTATGGTTTTTTAAAGTTAGTTGTGGATGTCTGTTGTGTTAATTGTGTTGATGAGGCTTTGGCTGTCTGTTCTTTTGGTTGTCTGATGTTGTGTTATTACTTTCTTTGTCGTGACAGTCTGTTGTTTTTTCGTGTAACTTTGTTGTTGCTCTATAGTGTCCAGTTTTCATTTTCATATTACTATGATGTAACTGTCTTTTTTTAAACTTTAAGTTTGTTGTGACCGTCTGTTGTTCTTGTTGTGACCCTCTGTTTTTTTTTGTTGTTTCTTTGCTGTGACTATCTACTGTCTCCATTTTCGTTGTGGTTTTGTGACGTGTCCTCCGTTTGGGGATGGCAAATCCCAGACAGGGATCTGTTTGTGACTGTAGCACCTTAAGCTGACATTCGATTACAATATTCTGTATCAGTGCTCAACATTCGACATATCGTTAGCCGATTTCCGGTATCACTGACACGAGCCTCATAGGAAATCTGTCAGAAAATAAAATTGAGATTGAATTTGAGAATGTCGATTTTTAATGACTCACCCGATACGTGATTTATCTTTAAAAAGGGAAAATCGCCTTTCTGATGAGTTTTTATGACTAAAGAGTGATTTTTCTTCTTCACTTTCTTTTTATTTCCATGGAATACGTATATTTTTGGACGTCATATCTTTATGTGTTTTTGAATAAATTTCCCTAATGAATTGAAATAAAAAAAGTGCACCATTCTATCCTTTTCAAAATCTTGTTTCTATCATTTTAAAAATCGCGTCCATTCAGTTTTATATCCTTTACACAGCGAAGATGGTCGTTATAAAAACCTTCTGTACAGGAGCTTCAAATTGTTCTTCAGGAATTATTTGAAAGAGTCACAGCAATTAGATAAATCTATTTTTCGGAGACAACGGAAGTCGTCTGAGCTACCATCTTATAAAAGACCCGACCAATCAGATCCAGTAGTTGTTACACGCTGATAAGCTTCCGGTTTCAGGTCCATGGAAGCATAATCAATGGATAACAGCCTATTTAAAGAAATAAATGTTATTCTTTGGTAATTTAGCATTCTAATTCCTTCCTGGTTTATTTCTTTTTGTTTTATTTGCGCAATAGGTCTGAAAAGTACCCGTCATGCATTTGAACGTAGTATGTAAATACTTCAGATGTTTTTTAAAGAAAATTATTATCTTCCGTACGCAATGCAGTGTAAAAATCACTATTAATTTGTATAAAAACGTCAGTCAGCATTCGACTTAATGATATATTGATTTTGCTGACAAGGTCAATGTATCGACTGTAGAACTTGCGAAATGATGACTTTAATCAAGTCTGTTCACATTCTTGTTTCATCAACGTTGTTGTCAATAGCTTGCCGCGTTTTAGAAATTGTTCATACATAGAGCATATGCATTTGCATGGAAAACATTGACCAAGTATACATAATGCTGCCTCGTAGGAACTTGATCAATTGTTTGTAGGTATGATTGCAAATTTTTTTTTTAGTATCTGCATTTTAAGTTGATAAAAAACGTACAGTTTAAGAATACAAGCACTCGGAAATCAATATTTTGTCTTGTATTATATTTTTGTTGTTTGAGGAAAAATGATGAACAAGAACTTAAATATGTTTTTTATTTTATTTTATTAATTTAAAAAAAAAAGACAAACAATGAAAACAATTCAAATATAATAAGGACAGTCGCATCAATGAAGATCACGTGATAATAAGATAATTCTGTTATAAGAAGTTTGGACTCCAAATAACAAAGATAACCGCCAGCATTTCTTTGATTATTAAAGCTAGTTCATTTCAACATCTTATTCCAGTTCTTGCGTAATTCATTACCACAAATTACAATCCAATTTAGAAAAAAATAATGAAAGTTTAATGTGCCATTAGGGCCTCTGGTATTTTTAATTGGTAATATGACTAATATTTGGAGGATTTGTCTATTCCTCATTTGGCAATTTTTGAATTTTATCTCTTTTTAAAATTCATTACAAATTAGATAATAACGTAAATAAAATTGTGAAACAGTTAAAATATTATTCACGAGAAATTAACAACTATTTCATCTGAATTGAAAAATGCTTCAGATGTGAAAAAGAAAAATGTGGTCTGCTGAATATATGAATACAATAATTTTTTTTTCTGTAAAACAAAATTATGGAAACCATTAGTGTGGGTGTGGTTAACAATTTTAAAATCGATTGACAATGTTTAAAAAAAAATTATTTTTACTACAAAGTTCTCCTTTATATATATATATTATCAGTGTGGGTGTGGTTAACTGCGGTGTAAATTGACAAAATTTAAAAAAAAAAATGCAGAGCTGTCCAAAAAAAATTAAAAAAAATTGTTACCAGTAAAAAAAAATGCGGGGGACGTCGTGATCAGGGAATGAGCAATTATTCGTGAAACGTCCCACGAAAAATTCACCTGGGATGAGACCTACCTTAATAATTATTTCTTGTTTCCATGTTGTTTTTCCCTTTTTCTATATCATCTTTATAGAAATGTCATTCGTGTATTAAAAATTAATGGTGGAAAATTAACAATACAAAAAGATAACATTTTTATAGAATGCCACAGCGATTCTTTCAGATTAAGGGTAAGTCGGTGCAACAAACATACACTGCTTAAAAATTAGCATCAAAAGGAATTATATAAAAATGCGGATACATGTATATTTTCACAAAAAATACATCATAAAAATGTTTTATTCATCTTTCCTTAGAAAATAACATTTTAAAAAAACCTACAAAGCATATAAAATGAAATTACATTAATCTGTAGAAGAAGATTAATTTCAATCGTTAGACCCAATGGTATTACTTTTCATGTGTTTAGCTTCCTCTGAAGGATAACTATAGTACATTCTTCTCCCAATATAAAAATTTCAAGTACTCCAGCTGGAGATTTCAGATATTGATGATTTCATACATCAAGATATTTAACGTCATTTACCGTGAAATAGTTTTGTGCTTTGGGAAAAAGTTATCACCAATTAATTCAATAACTTCTCTGAAAATTTGACAAGATTGAAGTCGGAAACTAGTCTTGGTATGTGAAATGTCACTATGGTATTATGTGAGAAATTTTGACTATTATATAACTGTCAAACTATTCCCATACCTCACATTCTCTCTTGATGGAAATATTCCCAAGAAGTCTCGAATTATCACAATCTATGATTTGATGTATAAAATATGAAATTAACGAAAGTAATAGAGCTCAAAAGTCAATTGAGAACTTAATTATAAGATGGCCTCTTAAAACATCAGAGGTACATGTAGGAACAGATCTTGGCCAAAGACGTCCTCATCATGGTCATTTATTAATACAACTTTTTAAAGTCACATGGTTTTTCACACAAATTAAGTTTACATTGTTATTATGAGAAATTGTGTAACGAGGAAACAAATCATATTTTAAAAGTGATATCTATCTTACTTTAATAATTCACAAATAATTATTGGTAGCATTTTGATATACTCTTTGCTGATGGATTGTGATAGTTCCCAAATGGTTTTTCATGATTTCTAGAAAAATACATGTATAGCCGTCTTTGTATCTATTCTTTTTTAAGCAGTTCTTTGCCTTGCAGTGACTCAAAAACAGTGCAAATCATGTACTTTTTGTATTTCTGTATAATAACATGACTCTATAAAGCGCAAGATGAAATTAGTATTACTCATTTGTTTGGCTGCTTTTCATGCTAAAAAGCTGGCATTTTTGTGGGGTTACTTTCTGAATCTAGCATCATTAAAGATACATCCGACTGCAAAACTCTAAAGTTTCAGACCGTAAATGTAAAAGTATTTTCTTTTAATTTTGATGGTAACATTTTACTATTTCAAAAGATGAACAATACCTTTTTATCCTGTCTTTTGGCATGATTTCTTTAGGCAGCATCGTCATATTTCGGCGCTGAATTTCGACAAAACCACGAAGTGTATAGAAAATATGCAAAGTATTTCGAAAAATACTCAGCTTTAAGATGTCAACTTGAAAATTTCAACTAAATAGTATTAAAGAAAACTGGATTAATTTAATTTG